TTGAAATACGTCAGAAGTTTGATTTTTTGCACTCAACTTCTTCGCCCTGAAGTTATGTATGACTGGTCACCAGAACTGATCATTACTTTTCGATTATAATTCGATTCAAGCCGGCAATCGGCCGTCACGACATAGTGCGAGGCGACATAGCGTGTGCCTTTCGTTTCATCAATAACCGCAAGATTAATGACTTCGATAGCGGGTAATAACCTATACCACGAGGAGCACCGTACGTCCGTAATTCCACACGAGAAGCTCCCGATATACCTACTGCAGTATTGTTAGCCGCGACTTCGATCGGAATCTGCACAACTATTACTCAAACACTGCACACTGGGTCGTAAAATCCCTTTCTAACAGGAAATATTTTTTCTTGTTTGGAGGACGGTTGCAATTTCTACCCGACATCTTTGCCTCGTCCGTCAGCGTTTTCAAAAACCTGCAGTCCGTGAAGTGAGGATGTCGATCTTCAGCGGAAATTAACAGTTGTTTGTGAAGAGTGCATGCCATAATAGATATAACGGAGGGTATGATGTGTACGGTATACTTCTGAAACGAACTAACTTTTCTGCCTCATTCGTAAGAGTATACCTATCTGTATATGAATACCAATCGAAAGTATGTCGCTTTTGAGATGAGTGAAGAAGATGACGCCTTTTTCGGGATGATCTCTATTTGTTTCTGCTGCTGCCATGGTCGATCAATCCTATCATTTGCACAGATCCATCACTAAAACCAACGATACATAATTCAGTTTTGCAATGCCGTTTAACACACTGCATCTTACCGAAGACAGCAGTAAGTCCAGGAGAGACGCTTCAAGAAATTACACCAAAAAGTGTCATGAACCTTCGTCAGTTGCCAAATTTCCTTTGATCAAATACGAATTTATAGGAGAACTTGTGAATATATTCCGTTCAATTTTTCAGAGAATTTTTTTCGTAATTAGATTTATAAAATCTGCAACTTTGAGGAAAAAATATTTATAACTTTGCTCCAAAATATACATTTTATTGGAGGAAAGTAGGCAAATCTCAAATGTTCATACGGCGTTTTTCCTCAGCACGGCAGAGCGTGGGCAAATAATTGTTTTATGGCAGCGATTTAACAAAAAATGGCTAAAAAAATGTAAAAAAATTGGCTTAAAATTTTGAGTATTACCGCTCTCCTCTGTATAGCGGCAGCATGGGGCGCCGGCGGTAGGATGGGTGGCGTGCTTTGCGATACATCGATTTTTATGCCATTTAAACCTATGGAAGAGGATCGATAGACAGGATGTTCGCAGCGAACACCTTAATAATCGATTCTTCACCATCGGTTTAAATGGCATAACAATCGATACATCGCAATTCACGCCACGCCACTGGATGGGTGCGCTACTAACCTTGGCCCTCGGAATGCGAGCAGCGGCATAGCGTACGCGTATAATAGCGTGTCAAGCGCTCATAAACGCAGCTGGATCATCCGGCGTTATCGCGCGTCAGCCGTCCGTGTTCCCCGGGCCTTGCCACCGGCACCACCGGCTGGACTCGGTCTCCGACAACGACGTTGTTGCCCAGACACAGGAAATGGCGAAAGTGGAGCTGCCTTCGCGCAGACATCGTCCTGTGCATCTTCACGCCCCGCCGCCGCATTTAGATGCAACTCTGCAGCTCTAAAGTGGCAGATACACTTGCGATTGCGCTTGTTGAAAATGAAACACCAATAGGAAATCAGGATTTCGATCGTTTGCCGTCGAGCTATCGAAATCCTCCTCGCCTATTGGTGTTTCGCTTTCAACAAGCGCTTGTAACTCGCAGGTGCATCTGGGCCTTAAGTGGAAACGCCGTATGGGCTTTCGGATGTTGCCAAATTGCCTTTTAGGAAATGTTTCCTGTTCGAGAAGGTTATAAATATTTTGCCTTGACATTGTCAGACACTTTAGATTAAATTACAAACAAAATTCTCCGAACAATTGGAAGAAAAATATCTGCGAATTTTCCCGGAAATTTGTGAGTTGTAGGAGGAGATTTAGCAGCGTCTGAAGGCTCATACGGCGTTCTTTCCTTAACACGGCAGAACTGCCGCGCAATCGGCAATAGTGATTTCGCATTTCGACAATATTGTTTTTCCTCCATTTGAATCCATTACAAATATCGATTTTGGTCGCGCTTGCCAAGAATCGATTGTTAAACATACATTTAAATGGAAGAGAAATAGAGTCGTCAACTTTCAAGGAAACCTCTGCATGACACTCGGGCGCATTTGCGCGGGAAATAACTCGCCAAAAAATCGTTCATTTTTGAGTTTCGATGTATGGAAACACTGTTATAAATCGAGTGAAAAGTGAATTCGGTGCCGGAGTCTATATAGCGCTCACAGATCCCGTATGATTTGAATCGTAAAAGTGAAATTAGCACTATAAAAGCGTATGTTACTCCGCAAAAAGAGTAGATGTCGCTCCGTTTAGCGTAAATTGGAGAATATAGATTCCGCTCCGCATCCATACAACCGTGCCACGGGAAAACGCAGTATGAACATTCGAGAGTCGCCAAATTTCCTTCTATAAAATGTCTATTTTTAAGAAGAGTTATGAATATTTTCTCTTGAAATTTTCAGATGATTTAGAGCTGATTGCGAATAAAATTCTCTGAAAGTCGGAGGAAAAATAAGCATAGATTCCCCTGAAAAATTATATTTTATAAGGAAATTTGGCAACGCCTGAAGGCTCATACAGCGCTTTTTCTCAGCACGGCAGCATGTCACTTGTGTGGAGAAGGAGAAGAAATGATGAAAAAAGAAAAAGGATAGAAGAAACTGGAAGAGAAACAAAGTGAGAAGAATCCATTTTTCTTCGTTTTTTCTCCCTCTTCTTCCTCCTCCTCACTCTCCATTCCTTCCCCTCCTTCTCTCCTTCTTCATTTTTCCCTTCTTTCTCCTCTTCGTTTTTGACCCCCAATTCAGCAGACGAAAGTTCGGTCAAAAAAACCAGTGTCTGTCAGACTAAAGGTCACCTATCATTACCTATTTCCGAGCGTTTACTTTTTTACCCCTGCATTCAAGTCTCCACACAATAACAAATGGGAAGCGATTCAATTCATCACTTTCATGTTCCAGTTTCTGCCAGAGTGAAGAAACGCATCTTTTCTCGAGAAAGGCAACATCCTCCGATGATCTCTCGGTCGCGCTCCTCAAAACCAGCTTGCAAGGGGGGGGGGGGCTAGGGGGCCGCCGGGTCTAGCCCCGCGTGGCTAATTCATAATTCAACGCATCATATTATGCCCGCTCTAATTATTGTGTTTCGGTTTTTAGATCACACTCACCTTATTCCCTCAAATAATTGGCACTTGACACCACACAACCAGCTTGCTCTGAAGGCGATCGTCGCATAAATCTACTTAATTGTGACGGATTGAAGCAAAAGCGTCACAAGAAGTAGAAAAACACAAACGCGAAAGCGCGCGCTTCAAATATTGTAAAAATTCACGTAATAATACGTTGTTGAAAAGTATGGATCGTCTAAAAAGCTTTGTCTATTTGATATTTTCGTGATCTTATTTAGGTTTGATCATCATGGTTATGCATTTTGACTTTGCCGTCGTGAATACTCTGCAATGCTACCCAAAATAAATGACAAGAAAATATAGCTATGAAAACTTTTCATTATACGTTTATTTCGAAAACAACTATACTCAATGCAGAGGAGAGAAATATTTTCTCTCCTGAGCAACTAGTTATTGCTTAAGGGTGGATACATTCCTCTCCCAAGCACCAACTAGTTGCTCGGGAAAGAAAACATTTCTTTCAGAAACAAGTACATACTTAATGCAGAGGAGAGATATGTTTTCTCCCCTGGGCACACTCCTCCCCTGAGAACCAACTAGCTGCTCGGGAGAGAAAATATTTCTCTCGAAAACAACTACTTAAAGCAGAGGAGAGAAATGTTTTCTCTCCTGGGCTACTAGTTCGGTTAGTCTCTTAGTAAGTTTGCTATAACCCATCACTTGAAAATTGCGTTTTGAGTAAAGTAATTTCGTATGATACTCCGGAATGACGTTACAATGAACTGATCTGGTCTCCTGTGGTCTATGGATCCCATCCTCTTGGTTGGGAAGGACGAAGAACAAGTGGACGCTTCACTTGATTTATTTATCGAAAATGGCAACGCAATGAACCGTGTCCACAGAGTCATTTTGTTGCCGAGTCTAACGTAACAGTCGTCGCAATACACCCTGCCAAGCTAGGGAAATTAATGCTATACTTGTCGACTCATTAAACCATAATATACCCTTCGTCTTCTACATCTATCGTTTTGGCCATCACTCCCAATAATCAGCCTGCATATGAGCAGTGTCCTAAAGACACTTTTTCTTTGTGAGTCATGCATGTGTATATGTTGAAGGCAAATAGTTGGTTCAGGCATTTTGTCAAATGCCTAGGCAAATAGTAAAATATCCTTACTTAGATTGACATTTTAATTATTTTCCTAATTTTAGAAAAAATAATTCGGTACTCCTGTAAAACAGAATTCTCCGTAAAAATATGCAGCATACACTTATTTTTTGAAACTACTTTTAGTTCCTGAACGCACATTTACTTTGAAATTTTCAGCATGTCGTAAGACATGGAATTTCTAAAATTTTAGCATTTAAATGTACAAGAGGCATTTGAAAAGGAAGGAACGAGGAGAGTTTGCGGATTTGAAGAGTTGTTCTTCGCAAAATATTGAAAACCCGTTAACTATATGTACCAGCCATAAATTTACAGAATTCCGTAAACTGTCAAAATTTGACTACCGGCCTAGGCATTTGATAAAATACCTGATTTGACTAGTTGCCTTCGACATATCCTTTACCCTTGAAATTCTAACCTAAGTTTTTTTGGTTTTGTTTCAGGTGGGAGCCCCCGTGGGATCCGTGGGGCGATGTGGTGGGTTGGGCGCTAGCCGGGCGTGCCGCGGGGCCCCCGGTCCCGTCCGATGAGCGAGGGGCCCGGGCGGCGCCTGCCCTCGCACCCGCCCCCGCCCCCGCCCCCGCCCCTTCGGGCCCCTCGGCTGCCCCTTTGGCCCCATGGGGCTTGAGCCCCTCCGGGCGGGGCCCTGCCGCCGCTGCAGCGCCAACCGGGTGAGGCGGAAATTCCGCCGCCTCGAGCTCCACCTCTGGCTCGCGGTCGCCTTCGCCTTTGCCGCCGCCTACTGCGCCCTCCCCGCCGCCGCCAACCGCCCGCCCAAGTTCATCATCGACGGACAGACCGAGATCGTTCTTCGACTAAAAGAAGGAGAAGAGACACCAGTTGGTAAGTCAACATTTATTGCACTGAGTAGAGAATTCGCAGGTGTCTTAAATTATGTGTATTTCATTTTCGGTTAAATTTATTTTCTTAGGAAACTATGATCCTTAAAAAGCTTAATAAGAGAGAAGGATTAAACTTCAAACTTCAAAATTTTAAAATCTGTGCACCTTATAAACTGCTCTCTTGCGCACGCTGCACGGCACTGGGGGAAAAAAACACATTGGATCTAGAATCCAGACTCTTGAAAACATTGACAAGAAAAAATACTCTTGATTCAATCGGATTTTTGCTTGAATCAAAACGAAATCCGCTTAAATTAAGAGGCTTGGTTCTTGACTTAAGCTAGATTCTGATTGAATCAAGAGTACTTTTTCTTGTCGATGTTCTTAAGAGTCTGGACTCAAGATCCAATGTGTTTTTTTCCAGTGCGGGGTGCAGAGTGTAGTGTTCCCGATCACGCTATCATGGTCGCGTGGCCAATCGCGTGAAAACTTGGGAAGACTTTTTTCTTCTTCTTTTTAACCCATCTCGATTGGGTGTACGGAAAACTTACGTAAAATCATGAAGATGATGAGACGTCAAGCTGTTTTGTGAGCTAGAAGTCTTTCAAATGCGCTCCTTTTGGAGGAAGGTCACTGTTAAACGAATTGCATTATGTGGAGGCACAATTATAGCAAAATATCAAATTTCGGGCAAGGCAAATTGAAAATTGGGGAAGGCTAAGAACTTTCTGCAGCCCTAGCGCACATTACAAACGCATGTGCTACATTGACCCAGTGAAACACATCACACTCTGAACGGAAGAAGAGAGTGGAATAGCGTTCACAACATTGCCCTCCGTATCCATTCCACCAATTTATTTCAATAAAGTGTTCCTTTATTGATACCAATGGTCGCTAGCCGAGCAAGAATAAACATTTGTAAAGTAAGTAACAGAGCAGCTTTATGTATCCTGTTTTAAAGTTCTCTTAAAAAGACTCCTCCCGTACTCAAAACCATTAACAAACACTGATTCGGAAGTCCAGTCAGGATCTCGAACGGAACCCTTTCCATAGTTGCCGATCATAGGTAAACACACTCAAAATTCCTTTAAGAACATATTGAAAAATACAAAAAATGTCACGCTCAACTCGACAACATGGGATATTTCATAAAGTCCCCGCGGTCGACAGACAATGGTCCATTTGATTTGCATCGTGGAGGCGGTGGTGAGATTTAGAGGTGGCTCTCGGTGCTCCTTTTCGACGATATTTAATCCTCACCAACTCTTGAGCTTGGAACTTCGTGCGTTGAATGCAAACCAGGGCTCATGAGATACTTCGAGTTGAGTCGATTCGAAGCGAGGATGCGTATTTCTGTGCTCGGGCGCTGAGCTTGGAACAATAGGCGTCGCAGGGTAACGGAAGGTGAGGCGTCGTGATACTGCTCCCATCAATCCTCCCGATCTGTTAATAAATATCGGGTGATGAAAAGTTTCCGGCCGGCTCTGTTATTGCGTTGTTCCTCCACTGGTTGTTTGAGGTTGCAGCCTGATTCATTTAAAAAATAAACAGAATGCCCGAAGATAGTAATGTAGAAAGTTAAAGGGTCGTACACTTAATTTGTTGTTCCTTAAACAGCTCTCTGGGAGCCCATACGATTTACATTGTGATCGAGGAAGACCTAAAGAGGCCTTAAACATGGCAGCGAAATAATAATAATAACAGATTTTTGGCTTGGCTGGGTTCATTACCTTATCAGGTTAGGATTGCTAAAGCAATTGATCAAAGAGGAGTTCTGCCGATCAGTATACAGTAAAAGGGGTAGGATTTTGATGTACTTCAGTTAGTTGCCTTTTCTACCCTTGCGTTTAAGTCTCCTGTTAGTCTCCTGAGCTACCAACGGTACTTCATCCTGTGGAAGAGAATAACCATTTTCTGATCATTTAAAAACAGCATATGTGCCATTGATAATAATAACATGTCGACGGTGAAAGTCGGCAATCACATAACTCGGTTTGCGACGGCGCAGACTTCCTGTCATACTTTATTTTTTAAACGGAAAACTACTCAACGGTAATTCTTTAAAACTTCCGTGATTTTTCTTCTATGTGCGAGGAAAATTCTGCAAAAACTTCAAGGAATAATGTCCATTTGTTCTCCTTTAAAAAATAACATAGTTGCGGAGATTTTCAGACACCGCAAACGAGTTATGTGATTGCCGACTTGCACCGTCGATATTTATCATATCAAATATACCGATGTAATATAAACCGATTTTCTAAGGGAGCACCCGTCCCCTTGTTCGAAGTGTCTAAATCCTCCTATACCATGTCTATCGCTTTATTTTTTCGTGTCTTTTCATTGGCACCCCGGACGGTAGATCGGTAATCGAGTCCTCAGCTCAAGAGTATGGAAGAACCAGGCCCGGGAACGAGAGGCTTTTGACTCAAACCTTGGGACCTTTACTCTTCGATCCGCGGGCCGTGTCCGTGTCTTTGGCGGCCGAAACAATAAATTCACGTAACATCTCCCAATCCCCCCTCGAGATGACGATTCTCGGCTCGGAGGTAATTTCGTCATTACGAGAGTTCCCGCGACGCGACGCCGCTTCATCGGAGAAATTATGGACCAGCGTCGCGACGCCACCGCGGCACCCTCAAAGGTTGCAACCATGAAATAGCCCTGTTGCAAGATTTTCCGATAATCTTCAAAATTGAGTCGATGACATGTTACCGAGGAGAGCCGTAACGTCAGAGATTAAGTTTTGAGATGATGAACACTGGAAAAAAAACCACATTGGACTTAGAGTCCAGACTCTTAAAAACATCGACAAGAAAAGATACTCTTGATTCAATCGGATTTTTGCTTGAATCAGAACGAAATCCGCTTAAATTAAGAGGCTTGGTTCTTGATTTAAGCTAGATTCTGATTGAATCAAGAGTACTTTTTCTTGTCGATGTTTTAAAGAGTCTGGACTCTAGATCCAACGTGTTTTTTGTTCCAGTGAACTAAAACTAGAAAAACACGGTGTAATAACAGTATTGAATTAGATTGCAACTTAATGCAATATTTTCACATCGCTTGGCCAATAAATGTAGATTTCAGACCATCAGACGCTGAGATGGAAGAGAGACAGTTTGCCGCTTAAAGATGTATTTTAATTTAATTGCAATAAATTTCAACAAAAGAAGTCCCTTCAATTAGTCAATAGGCAACATATACTACACACCAATGTCGCAGCAATATCAGCATGTAATAAAAGCATGTAGTCGTAATTTAATGCAACCTGCAATTTTTAAGAAGGTGTTCGAGGGGGAAATTTGATCAACAAGTCTACCAATCTTGGCAAAATTGTCTATAGGCACTTCAAAATTGTTCGGGTTTAACTTTACATTTGCACAAAAATGAATAATTTGCTCTATGTTAGGCAAGATAGCAGGATGCACTATCCAATGTTGTGTTTATGACAAATAACAAACACATTTTCCATCGGAACTACCTGCTTCCACCAATAGGATCCCTCCATACCCCTGTTGTCTTCTTTTTCTACAGCTTTGACGTAGCATAACGACAACGTAAGTCTGCAATCACATATCTCGTTTGCGGTGTCTGAAAATCTCCATCTCCATGTTATTTTTTAAAGGAGAACAAATTGACATCTTTCTTATAATTTTCTTTTTTAAATTTCTAAAAAATTCTTTTAAATTTTCGCAGAATTTTCTTCGCACAGAGAAGAAAAATCACGGCAGTTTTAAAGAGTTGCCATTGAGTAGTTTCCCGTTTAAAAAATAAGGTATGACAGGAAGTCTGCGATGTCGCAAACCGAGTTATGTAATTGCCGACTCACACCGTCGATATAGAAATCAATTCTTTTTCTTGAATTTTTGGCGAAGTCCTCTCCTCGGCAACGCGGCGGCTTGGCTGCGAAAATCATGGATTCGTGAATTCATGAACGATGATCGCGAAATGCTAACTGCAGTCATGTCGTACAATCAGCGTTGGCAGTGAGCATCCAGTGTTCAGCAACCGATGTCGTGTCGCCGTCCCGACCTCTCCCTCCGCCTCGAGTCGCGGGTGGGCGAGTTTCTGAATAATTTATATTTTCTTCGCCGACCCCACCCCCTCCCCTCCCCCGCGCCAGGGCTCCGCTGACCTATCCAGGGCTTTGCAAATTTCCCAGATGAACCTTCACTCAGTGTTTGGCGCCTAGAGACAATGCATTTAAGAGACGCCACACGGACAATCTGTAGAAGCGATTCTTGAAAGATGCAGTTAACACTGAATTTTCTTCCACTTAAATATACACTGGAAAAAAAACACATTGGATCTACAGTCCAGACTCTTAAAAACATCGACAAGAAAAAAGTCTCTTGCTTCAATCAGATTTAAACTTAAATCAAGAACCAACCCTCTTAATTTGAGCGGATTTCCTTTTGATTTGAGCTTAAATCTGATTGAATCGAGAGTCCTTTTTCTTGTCAATGTTTTCAAGAGTCTAGACGCTAGATCCAATGTGTTTTTTTCCAGTGTATATCATTTTTTTTTATATTCATTTTCATCATTTTTGTTGAGGCAGCTTCCCTCACTTAAAATCGAAATTTTTAATGGATTTAAATGAAGGATCAATAGTGTTGCCAACTTGCAAAATCGCCACTCACTGAAATTAAAACACATTGGATCTAAAATCCAGACTCTTAAAGACATCGACAGGAGAAATTACCCTTGATTTAATCAGAATCTAGCTTAAATCAAGAACCAAGCCTCTTTATTTAAGCGGATTTCGTTTTGATTCAAGCAAAAATCCGATTGAATCAAGAATATTTTTTCTTGTCAATGTTTTCAAGAGTCTGGACTCTAGATACAATGTGTTTTTTTTTTTTTTAAAGTGCTGTGCCAGACGCTGTCATAACGAGGGCGCTATATTGAGAGCAGAGGAAAAAGATAGAGAAAAAGAGGAGAGTAAAAAAGAATAGCAACGATGAGTATCGAATTTATCGAGGAGTGCGGATAGCGAGCTATTGAAAAACATAGTAATCCCGATGCGTGTTTAGATCGAGTCATTGAACAATTTATGATTTTGCTGATGGATAATATCCTCTTAAAACTCGCCTTCAATTTTGCCGCAAAGGGAATTTACCGCAAATATTGAGAAGTTCGAATAATTATGTATTCGCACAACACACATTCAAATTGCTCCATAGTCTCCGATAGTTGAAATGTTACCTGGTGTTGTCAATCTATTGTCAGGTATGGTCTATCCCAAATTCGCCTTCAATACATACCGGAGTGCGCGAATAGTCATCTAATCCAAAAAATACGGTAATCTGGTTCCACTCGCTAAACCAAAAGACCGAGCGTAAACGTATTGACAGAGATCGTTCAACGAGATCCGCCTTCAATTCGCGGCATAGGCAACGAACATACTGGGGAGCGCGAATAGTTATTTATTAAAAAAACACAAATTCATGAACTTGAACGAAGAACTTGAGACAATTATAAACAGTGGTGGCAAAAGAAGGAAACTTGAGATAAAATCGTAAGCAAATATTCTTTTTATAAGTTCTTTACCAGTTTTTCTTCTATAAAAAACTCTTATAAAGACCGTGATTCTTTGTTTTCTTTTTTTCTTTGTGTCTTCTTTTTTTTACAGTTTTAGCACATTTTATTTTTTTAATTTGAATGGACCACTAGACAAGGTACGAATTTAAGCATTCTAATACATGCTTTCTAGTCAGAATTTTACGTAGAGCACGATTCGCACAACGAAAATTGCTTAAACCACCTCCTAACAAAGACATTAACGTTTTTATTCCACATTGGCTACGAGTAATTTGAACTGCCCGCTCACAAGAAACTCAAAGCTCTACGTAAGTCAAATCGCGCACTACAACGGTTTCAGCAAGCTTCTCGCGGTCGACCAATGTTTATGTCCCACCATGTATTGTTCAAACTATAGGCAATATTCTATAGCTGAGCTAAAGCGTCAAGATTGAGGTTGCCAGATTTGTATATCGTAGAGACTGTCATAATAACGTTTAGCGCGCGATGTGAATCACGTAGAGCATTGAGTTTATGAGCGGGTGGTTTGAATTCATGCATCAAGAATCATCAAATATCTTCGCAAGGAGTTAATTTCGGTAATTTTTGTCGTGTACATCGTGTTTTACGGGAAATTTTGGTTAAAAAACATGTATCAGAATGCTGAAATTCGTACCTTATCTAGTGGTCCATTGCCCTCAGACATCCTGTAGAGACCGCCTGCACAGTAATTTCCGGATTTTTAGCCATCTTTAGAACATTTTTATACTGTGGTTTTCCTGAGCGCGGTACATCCATAAAAATGAAGAAATTCATTTCTCTCCATCAGCGGATTTCTATTAAATTCCTGCTTGCACATAGCGCTATACGGTTGATCGTCAACTAGATTTCACAATTTTATTCGCTATTGTGATATTTCACCAAACCAATTTCCTTTATGTTGCAGGGAGTTTAATTTACAGGTTAAGAGGAGTTGACCCGGATAATGACCAACTGACCTTCGGGGTCAAGGATCCCAGCAGCAAAGAGGTTTTGCGAATCGAAAACTTGGGCACAAACGAAGCCAACGTTTATCTAAACAAGGAATTGGACCGCGAGGTAAGTGAACACTTTCTGATGTTCATGATGTACTCATCAAGAACTGGCATATCTAAAATCATAGAAACTTAGAGTGATATTGAGTTCTTCCCAATTCTGCTGATTATAAAAGTTTTGCTCTTTGCGTCGAAAGTATTGCATCAATTCTTCTACTTTAGTATCGACTCAGTTTCATACCTCAAAGTTTTCCTTTATTATTACGTCAAACTCAAAGAATTTCCCACAATTTTCTGAAATTCTCAGTAAAATTTTCAAATCTTACACTCTTTCTTTTATCCTCTCATTGTAACTTTTCTAAATTGCAAACTACAAACTTTTTCAGTCTTTTGTCTTGTTAGGCTTGACGTCCTCTTTAATTCATTTCCGTATATTGAAATAGAGAGAAAACAATGCCGCCAACTTCCTGGACTGGCCAGTGGCTGATTATGAAACGGCTTTAAATACGCTCCTAAATCTATACAATACTTTCTAGATCGCAATCTTTATCTGTTTCTTCCATGAAAAGATTCTTGCAAGTAGGGTACAAATGGACTACATTTACAATTAGGAACTAACATTTCTGGTCCAGTTTAAAAAGAAAGTATGTATCATTAGTTTGTCTGCAGACACGTCTGTTTTTACGGATTAGCCTGAAATTGTAATTCCTAATTTATTGTAAAATGTAATCTAAATGTTGAACAAGCACTTCAAATACATCGCAATGCTGGCCTTGATAAGGAAAAACGTCGTATGAACATTCGAGAGTTGTCAAACTTCCTCACATAAAATTTGTATTTTTAGGGAGAGTCATGTATATTATCTCTCAACATAGATTAAGATGTGATTTTGAATACATACAATGCTCTGAAAAGTTGGAGGATAAATGCTCTCAGATTTTCCTGAAAATTCGTATTTTATCAGAGGAAATTCAGCAAAACTCCGAAAGCTCATGCAACGTTCTGCCCAGTAGCGTGGCGTGAATTGCGATTTATCGATTGTTATGCCATTTAAACCTATGGTAAAGAATCGATTATTAAGGTGTTCGCTGCGAACACTCTGTTTATCGATCTTTTTCCATAGGTTCAAACGGCATAACAATCGAAATATATCGCAAACACAGCAGAATGGTAGTACTTGGATAACTAAAGAGCAATCTATCTCCATCTGCGACTTGGCAGACTTCCTGTAACACTTTATCGGAGGGGCTTGGAGGAAAAGGCGCATAAGTGCAGTTTTTACAAAAAAAATCGAGATATCGTTGATTCCAAGTAAAACTAGTCTTTATGCAAATTCTGTAAAAAAAAATCGCTCAAAAATTCCAATTTTTAAGCATCAAAAAGTCGGGGTGTTGATCTTTCGAACTGTGCAGACGTGTTTTGTAGAGCGCTCGTGAGACGGTAAAGCTTTTGGTTCGGCTCGCGGCCCGGGTATCGCGGCGCGCAGCGACCGCGAGATAACGTAAACAAAGTGCGGTTACGGCCGAAACTTCTATGTCGCTGTTGCCACACAAGTGTAAACATGGTGTGTATTGTTTTTGGAGAGACGATCAGTTCATCGGCTGTCAAAAATGCTACATCAGAGGAAAACTTGACTTCCTGAAATCGAGTCCAGCAAGAGTGAAAAATATGACGGATAAAAATCCGTTTGAGAAGAGTTCGCTCCTTTCAAGATCGCCCCAGGGGACAACCACGAGGACGAATACCGATGTTAAAACAGATGATATAGCC